GGCCCTGCCATCGGCCCTGTTCTGAGGCACGTGGCCGGATTGAGCCCCCACGGAGCGAGCTCAAAAGAGGTGCTGACTCCTTTGCTTCGGTGCGGAAGACTCTAAGTGCTTTGTATCCTTTACACCTGTGCAATTCCCAGTGCCTACTGAGCAGCGTCCTCTCATGTCCTGCGTGCTCGTCTGTGGGACAGTGCGCGTCTCTCATCTCCCATAGAGCAGCGTGGTTGTCAACCGATCGTGCAGCTCCTCCAAATCCTGCAGCGCCCGCTCGTATTTGTCCGGTTCCTCCTCCAGGTGCTGGAACATGTTGAGCGGTGGGGAAGCTCGGAACTCTTTTGGCAAGATAATCTCCTTAGGCAACGAGTCGTTTCCTACGATGAAGTGGTCCAGGCGTTTCTCCTCCACGCAGCACCACAGGTAGTTCAAGATGTCATCCATCCGCAGCAGGAAACTCCTCCCGTGCCACCTTTGCAAAGGAATGGTATTCAGGAGGTGCATGATCCCTGTCTTCATGTCATAGATGGTAAACCTGAGGCTCGCCATGAGATAGCCACACAGTTGCAGATATCTGAGGTAGAATTTGCCCCCCCGGGGGTGGTTGGCTACATACTGCAAGAACTTTTTCTCTGCCACTACACAGCTCTGTGGCCAGACCGTGCTGGGGGTATGACGAAACACTATCTCATGGCTGCTCAGAAAGATGTCCGTATCATCCTGCTGGACGCCAAACACAAACTCAACGTAGAAGATTCTTTTGTTGACATCTCTCACATGAAGCCTGCAGGAGCGCCTGGACTTCACCGTGTCTATCTCCATGGTGAACTCTGAGACGTGCATGCGTTGCCAGGCATTTTTGATCAGCTCCTGGAAGCAGCGGGCAGTCTTCTCCGCGTCTAAGTAGGACGTAGTGCAGAGGCTGTGCAGGAGGCTGGGCTGCTGACTTTTCAGCTCTTTGTCGGGGGTGTGGAGGAAGCACAGCATGCGCATCTCCTGCTCCCTCTCGCACGTGCATTCCAGCTCTACACAGATACGGGAGTCCGTTGCTGGTACCTCCCCTGTGGTGCCCAGATCCAGGTGGAAAGTGTGCCCACGGGGGGCCAACAGGGGCACAAGCAGGCTGAAGACAGGTACGTTTCTAACGGGACACCAGCCTTCGAAGGTACTGCCCACCTTGATGAGACGCTCTGGCACTGGATAGAAAGTATCTGATACCATACTTTGGCATATATCCATGACGCCATGCATCAGCGAGTACATCAGTTCACAGTCCTCTTGATGGCTTCGGACTGTCCAGAACACATCGAGAGAAAAGACACCGTCATCCTCCTCTTCCTCTTCCTCCTCCTCCTCCTCCTCCTGCTCCTTCTCACTGCTGGAGCTCTCCTCATCACTGGTGTCTTCAGCTCTATAGAACTTTGAGCAGATCATCCACATGAACAAATACAGAAGGATGGGAAGACAAAAAACAAAGCAGCGAAGCAGGGCTTGAGTGCCCATCGTGCTCAGCGCCATGTTCTTCTCTTCCATCTCCAGCAGCAGCTTTGTCATCTGCTCTTGCAGATACACCTCATGCTGCTGCATGCGGTCGAGCGTGTCCACATCCAAATCACCAACTAATGGTATTCTCTGCGCCAACAAGGCGAAGAAAAGCGCCAAAGCCATGATCTGGAAGAGGGGAGAGAGGGGAGGTCAGTGGGGCTGGGTGGGAGCTTGCGCTGGGGTCAGGGAGGAGCAGGAGTGAGGGAGCTGGGGGTCAGCAAGGGCCGAGGCCGGCGCTGGTGGTGACTGCCCGCAGAGCTGCTCGCAGGCTCCCTGAGCGCTCGCTGCTGCCACTGCAGGCTCCCAAACCTCTTGCGGGCCGGCATTTGCACCCGGCCCAGCACAGCCCTCCCCCTGCTGCTGTACTCACCGCTGGCCCAGGCCAAAGTGGAGCTTGGCTGCCTGTTGACGTCCGCAATACCAGCCCTGCACTGTGATGCACAGTGATGTCACAATGCCCCAGCCCCACCCTTCGGCCCCACCCAGCTGCCCTGGGCCCCATGGCCCTGCCATCGGCCCTGTTCTGAGGCACGTGGCCGGATTGAGCCCCCACGGAGCGAGCTCAAAAGAGGTGCTGACTCCTTTGCTTCGGTGCGGAAGACTCTAAGTGCTTTGTATCCTTTACACCTGTGCAATTCCCAGTGCCTACTGAGCAGCGTCCTCTCATGTCCTGCGTGCTCGTCTGTGGGACAGTGCGCGTCTCTCATCTCCCATAGAGCAGCGTGGTTGTCAACCGATCGTGCAGCTCCTCCAAATCCTGCAGCGCCC